TTTCATTTTGTACAGGCAAAGAAACACAAATGTCATGCAAAATACAACAATGAGATATCATGCAGTTTAAATCTACTATTAAAAAATACTTATTAAAAAAGCTTATTATAAGGTATCCGATTATATAACAGATAAGAATGCTTGGACTTAAGATGGTCCATCGACTGGATTGGTGTTTTCTTCTAAACTATCTCAAAAATTATCTTGTTTCCATTCTTATTAAATTATTATGTTATCATTAGAAGACCATAGCTTTTTTATTTATTTATAATACATATATTGATATGGTAATGACATGGTTTTTGTAAATGCCATTACTCCTATTAGACTTGGTTAGTTTCTAGCTCGTTCTTCTTATCAGTCAAAAGACGTCCTGAACGACTGGTAAGGAAAAAAATGTTGGACGATTCAAAAGTTCTTTTAAGAAGTCTATTTGAATAAAGATTATTTTGACTTTGACATTGACATATCCCATTCTGCAAATTGGTTTCTTTCAAGGGAACTTACGAGATGTGATAAAATCTATTAAATTTTTCAAAAATTCACAAGAAAGTATTTTAATACACACGGTAAGTTGCACAAATGTCGATTAAAAATTAATGACGATTTAAGAATTTTAATGGACGCTTGTGCGACGGAGTGAAATTTTCGCTCCACACCACGGCCCATGATGGGCGAACACTGATAATTAAAATTTGTTTAAATAAACAATAATGAAAATTGTATATAAACTGTTATCGTATATATAGGCAGCAGCACTGGGGCTGGAGATTCAGGTTTATTAAATCAATAATCATGTCCAATTTTGACGCGTCTAGTGATGTGATATATCTCATAATGTAGCTTATTTTTAAATTAATTCATATCGGGAAATTAAACCTTAAATTAAGGTCAGGATAAAAATTGTGAGTAAACCTACAAACTTTCGCTTTTATAATATTAGTAAGATAAACCACGACACGAGTCGACGACTTGAATGAAAGCATTAAAGACACCTTCAGTGCTATAAATTAAAGTCTATTTTCACTACATTATTTTAGACGTACACGTGGTTTTTATCACGCGCTCGTGACCCGTGCCAGTGCCAGCCAACTGTTGGCTGGCACTGGCACGGGTCACATTTTATTAATTTATCATTGAAAAGGATATTTACACTATGTAAGTAGAGTAAATGAAAGAGATATAGGTATGTAAAGTACGGTTCTTCATCTCTTAAATATAAGAAGTTATGATTACAAAGTAAATGCGAAACTTACTAACAACAAATTGTTCAAAATCGCGAATGGCGGGAATATTATGCTACTTTACGTGATTAATGATTTCTGTGAAATTCATACGTGTTCTAAGGTAAATAAATACATACTTATACCTATCTATAATATCTAATGCTTATTAACTGTTATCAAAACAAATAAACATCTTACTATTCTATTACTTCTCATCTACTGTTTTTTGACGGTCCTATACAAGTACAATAACTATATTTTTGATTAAAATTAAAAACACATAATAACCGATTATTTTCGTATTGATTGGTTAAGTCTTTTCCACTATGTGAATATTTTATCTCCCATTTATTACTCTACCTACTCGCCCATAGGATAGCGTTACTTGTATCATGATTTTACCTGCGCTTTGTTCTACAACTTGCCGACAGATGTCGGTTGTGCTGCTTAATGTAGCGCTATCTGAATTGCGGTGTTAAGATTTTTTCTTGAATAATGACGTCCTTGCGATTGTTTGGTTTCGGCAAGACCTTACTTCATAGGATCATTTCTATAGTAAGCTCTTCGCTAGACCTTCACAACATGTGAGGCCCAAACAACCGCGATGAGGAGATGTGGCGCGGTGCCCTGAGCGTGAGGAAGGCGGTGGCAGTTTGTCACTTGCCGTCGATGATCGTTCGCCCCTTTCTTCGGGAAGGGGAGTGGGGTACTGTCGCTGTCTGAGTGGTTGATTTTTGAACTATTTCAAATGTCAAATTATTTATGGTCATGAAATTTTAAGGCATTAGCGATTCTGTTACACACACACACACACGCAGTTTCAATTAGAGATGGGTCGTTGACAGATTTTCCGTCGACGAAACGAAGCCGTTCATGGACCTTGATCGACTAGTCGATCAACTAGTTGATTTTAACTATAGTTGACATATAGAACTACGTCAACGGGTACGAACTTTGGACGAAGTTTAACGGTTTTATTGAACCGTATATCAATATTGAAAAGTAAACATTGTTGATCATCTGTACCTGGTTATGATTTTTTATTGTCGAAAGATAGCGCTAGTATTCTAATTAGATATTGTTTTGGGTTTTGTATTTTAAACGAAACCGTATTATTAAGTCTTCGCTATCCGTCCGTCTGTCTGTCACTAGGCTGTATCTCATGAACCTTGATAGATAGATAGTTAAAATTTTCACATAAGATTCATTTCTTTTGCCAATAATGAACAAATACTAAAAACAGAATAAATATTTGCTTTTATTTAATAAAATAATGTTTTTGCTCGATATCGATTCTTGCAGCGAGTAGACCCTTGAAATTTTTACCGAAGATTTGTCTATATACGTATTCACTTTAAAAATAAACAGTTAAATTAAAATAAAATAAATACTCAAGTTAGCTTTCGTACAAAGAGATTTAATTTTTTTGCCGTTTTATAATGGTAAGTACGGATCTCTTCGTGTGCGAGTCCAACTCGCATTTCACTTAGCCGTTTTAAACATACAGTTAAAATAAATATTATGAATTTTTTCTGTAATAGGATAATTAATTTAATTAATAATTAATTAAAATAATAAATTAATGAATCACTATATAATTCGGATGCAAAAAAAAAAGACTAAAAACCATTTGTTGTAGAAAAAGTTAACTTATACTAAGTAGTAAAATTCTTAACACCGCCATGTCCAAAAACGTATAACACCATCTATCGTGGACTAATGTAAACAAACAAAGTCTAACATGTATTTAAACAAGGCCTATGTATTAGATACGCGTGTTCAAATATTTACTTACTTCCTTTGACTTTAGAGTTTAAATTATTTCAGCTGTCAAAGTTACATGAAATTTTAATAATGGAAACAACCGAATTCCATTGTATTATACAGATAAAGTTATGCGTTGCAGTTTCGTAACATGTTTATAGATGAACGGTGCGTTCTTCGTTTAGCCGTCGACTTTTTAACTGGTTGTATTATACGACAAAACTAAAGCGTTGTAGTCTAGGTGTACGTTGATCAACAAACGTAACACTCTTCATCTGATCATTGAAAATTCAACTAGTTGAATTATCAACTATAGTTAACGTATGCAACTACGTCGACAGGATAGACGTAGACGGATGGGAGTGTGCGTTTATTTATGAACTACAACCAACGTACAAATATTAACCTTATTGGATGGACTATATAGACTTTCGAAGTTGGCCGAAGTTTAAATTATTATTAGTTGTTATTAATTAACTGTAACTGTGATAGATTTACCTACTTCGCGATTATGGAAATAAAATAATATTATGTTTATTTTGTGTAAGTTCGTAATTACCTAGGTGAAGGTATAATAGAAGAAATTTACGCTTTCATGGTTATTAATATTCTAGCTATAAAATCTTTAATAAATGTTTTATTATATTTATCAATAAAAATATTATTTCTCGTTTATAGTGATATGTTTTATTATTTTAACAATATTAATAATGTACTGAACTTTAGGTTTTGTTTGTTTTAGTTCAAAATAAAATTATTCATATAACAGTGTGAATTAAATTATATAAAATAAAAAAATCTATCTTTAAAAGTGCTTTCAGAGAAAGGAAGGTCATTCAGACAAAATATCCCAAGGAACCCTAATAAAACACGCAATCAGACGAGTGTATACAAAACATAGAAATCTTACATTATAATAATAGCTGACCTATACTAACTAGTAAAATTCTTAACACCGCCATGTAGATAAAAACAAGAACTGTATAACACCATCTATTGAAAACTAACGTAAACAACAATCACATATTCACGTGTTGAAATATTTACTTACTGCCGTTGACTTTAGAGTTTAAATTATTTCAGCGATCAAAGTTACATCGAATCTTTATGAATGGAAAATGATGCGTTGCAGTTTCATAACATGTTGTTAGACGAACGGTGGGTTCTTCGTTAAGGCGTCGATTTTTCAACTAGTTAACCAAAGAACTGTCAACGGTCGACGCGATGATTCTACGTTAACGGTTGATTTAACTAGTCCGTTGTTTCAACGCCCATCGCTAGTTTCAATCCTGTGAAATGACGTTTTAATTTTAAAACAGTATTCTGCCCTAATAAAATAAAGTAATAAAAGTAAACTTATTAATATAATAATTGTATACAGGAGCCTTTGATTATAATGAAAAAGGGAGGTACGGCATAAGCGCTTTATAAATGGTACTTTTAACAATTGGGTACATGCTGCACATAATTTCACTTTAGTCACTATTAGTAAAAGGGTCTCAAAAATACCTGGATGTGCTTTTAAAAATTGTAGACAGACTTAAAGACAAATCTTCACCGTATCACTCGTAAATACATTATGAACGCATTTTTAATTTCAAATCCTACAATATGGGTATCAAATTAAAGGGAATCAAATAGAATTATAAGTCAAATCATTATCTCTTTGTGCATGTCTCCTAATGCATGTTATGTATGATGTTGCATATTTTTTTTATTTCTTCCAGCATTTTTAGTTAGTTGTTTTGCCACAGGAGGGCTTTTTGTTATTTCTTTTAAATTATAATTCATATATGTTTTTTTATCAATAAACCCACAATTAGTTCTATTATATATATTGATTTGTAGTGTTATTTTAATATTATAAATTCTCCTGAAAACACAAGATTTAGTCAAATAAGTCGCACCATGACCATGTCATTATGTTGATGCCTCAATGAATATGTTTTATAATGTTACATTATTTATTTTAAAATGGTAATATTATAAATTATTCTATTTTTGTTTCAGATATCTGACATAGCGACATCAAGCGTGATGGAATTATACGGTTACAAGATGACATGCTTGGAGCAACGGCTGCATTCGCATACTGTAGCATTGCAGGTTGTTATTATATAAAATAAACATGCTAATTATTTAATATATGTAGTAGCTCCGTGGCATAGTGGAGTTTTATACATCACGGTTCGGAACTCTGTGCGCGAGTCCTACTTTCACTTGGCCGGTTTTGTTTTAATATTTTGCTATATTATAATTTAGTGATACAGTACTCTCTCGCTAATCCGCCACCAAGAAATCCGGACTACCGGCGGATTACCGAAAACGGCGGATTATAATGTACAGGAACATCAAATTGAGGAAAACAATAAAAAACCATAGTAATTTTGTATTGTATTTATTATGAACTTATGAAGTTAAATACATGTATACGTACATATTTATTTGAATTTAAAAATAAATGACACATTAACTGATTACTCAGGTTTTGAAAAATACTGGTCTAATTTGGCTTGTTTTTTACCAGAATAAATCTTCGTAATAACATGATCACGCATTTTCCTTAAATTTTTAACCATATCGCATGACATTCCATTTTCTTGAGCCCATTTAATGCAAATATCTACGCCATTCAAAGCGTCCTCTGATTTGACAGTGCAATCTACATGCAACGATATTTCGTCTGATGAGTTATCCGGTTCAAAGGATTTGTCTACAAGCTCGTCGTCGGTTAAATGTGGCTCATATATTTCTGGGTTTTCTACAAACCAGTCTTCGACATCTTCACGTCTTAAACCCGCATTTGTCATCGTTGCTAACTGTATTAGTTCCTGTAATGGAATCAGATCTTCTTCTTCCCAAGTGTTATCATCTTCACTAATGGTAGGCCAAAGTTTTTTCCAAGATGATTTGATGGCTCGTTCTCCAATTTCATCCCAGGCATCTGAAACTGTAAAAACTGCATCTTTTATATTCAACTGTTTAAGAGTTTCAGAAATGTTTGTCTCCCGACTTATAGCGTCAAGTAAAATCTTCTTTTTGTAATTGTTTTTCATCATTTGTATTACATTTTGATCCATTGGTTGGAGTAGAGGCGTACAATTAGCAGGAAGAAAAATTGTTTTTATACAGCCGTCATTAGATGATAGTTCGTCATTTGGGCCGTGTCCAGGAGCATTATCAAGGACAAGAAGAGCTTTTAGTGGTAAATTTCGCGACTTTAAAAAATTTTTCACGTCGGGCACAAAAACATTATGAAACCTGTCACAAAACAAGTCTTTGGTTACCCAGGCTTTATTTTGACTCCTATAAACAACCGGGAGACTGATGTTCTTGAATGGCCTAGGGTTTTCAGATTTTCCAACAACTAAAAGCTTCAACTGATGACTGCCAGTTGCATTAGAACAAGGCATAACAGTTATGCGCTCCTTAGATACTTTTCTGCCTGGAGCAGACGTTTCACTTCTGTGAACATACGTTTTATGTGGTAAAAGTCGCCAAAATAAGCCACTTTCGTCGGCATTGTAAACTTGATCCGCCGTCAAATCAAGTTCTTCGATTTTCTTCTTAAAAACTTCAAGAAATGGTGATACGGCAGCCTCATTGCTAGATAATTTCTCTCCAGTTATGGTCAACAATCTGATTCCAAATCTTGCCTTAAATTTTGAAAGCCATCCTTCACTAGCTCTGAAATCATTTTTCTTATAAATTTTCTCATAGAATTGACGTGCTTTTTGCCGCAACACTTCAGCAGTTATCGGTGTGTGACGTCGACGCTCTTGTAAAAACCACGAAAAAAGTGTTTCTTCTAGCTGTGTATATTCACCAGTTCTCATCGTTTGACGTTTTCCTATTCCAGACTCTGCTTTAGAGACGTAGTTTTCTATCTTAATTCTGTTCTTCCGAATGTCATAAACTGTTGATCGCCCAACATGAAACTGATTTGCTATGTCTGTAAAAGGCACACCACTATCCACTTTCTTTAAGATTTCCATCTTTTCCGTCAAAGTTAAAGTTTCGTGCTTTCGTTTAGTTGGTTGCGATGAAGAGGAAACCATTTTGTATTGTTTGTGATAAAAAACACGCGTGCAGGTCACGACTTTTCGTGGCGGACTAAAGACCGGGCGGCGAAGTAATAGAACTATGTTCGTTATTAGAGTGAAAGGGAAGGAAGTTGACACTTGGCGGCGGATTACTGGACCGAACTTGTTCAATAACGGCGGATTACAGAGAGTCTACAGCTAACATCGACTTCCTAAAAATGGGCGGATTATAGTAGTTGTCGGATTATCGAGCGGCGGACTAGCGAGAGAGTACTGTATTTATATTTAGGTCTAGTTTTGTAGTAACGTAACGCGCGTATTAATCGACGATAAAATTAATACCGCATAAAATTATGTTCCGTACGACACTTATTGGTTGACTGGTAGGGAATGCCTCTTTGGCATTAAGTCCGCATTTAATCTTTCGGAAGCTGTCTAATCAAGACTGATGATAATATTATTAATATATTATCGTCAGTAAAACACTATTAATGCGAATTTTAATCGTAACAATATTTTTTTTGTTTTATCGTAACAATATTTTTATTGAAGGCCATTTTAATAGTCATACATAACTGGAATAATATTGTTTTTTTTTTCTATTCATAGCTGTTTTTGTCTCAAAAGTGTATGATTTTTTTTTTATAATTCCAAAAACTTTAACGTTGTTTGTGGGGTTTTCTATATTAATTTATTTGTTTGGTGAAGGGGGCGAGTGAGCACATGGCATCGTTACAACACTCCTTAGCTATGTTGCAAGCGACTAATTCATCCCAACAGGATGTCTTGTACACAACACAAATGCAAAATGAAAAGTGAGTTTGTCTATTTTCTTTCAAAGCCTTTTTACTTTTTGTATCGTCTAGCTATTTAATTAATCAAATTTGTATCAAGGATGTTCAACACTTTGGCTGGCCAATATACATTTTTTTTTCGTCGAGGTAATAATTGGGCACACTACCTTATTATTAGACAATATAGGGTTCGAATAGCAGCACCATTTAGAGATAAAAATTTAGGTTATATAATCTGTATAGCATACTTGGCATGCCTTTTCTAATGTTTATTTCATCCGTCAATAGATGGCGCTTACCGTGCTACCGTGTGTATGTGAAAAGAATGTCTCAAAGAAATCTGTCTAATGATATTTAATTGAAATTTTACACTTAAACATGTATCTATATTTTTTTGTTTTCATTAAGCAATTAACTTTTAAAAAAAATCAAGTAACTAATAAAAATTGTTCCTGTAAATACATTAAATTTAGGTATTTAAAATGATTGCAATGCCTGTCATGAAATAATTTAAAGAATAGGTTTTAAAAGGAAGTTATCAAAAATCGTTTAATTTATAAACTGAACTAATGTAAGAACAAAATCTTATTCATAATTTTCATCTACTGTTTGTAAGCATCGGTGGTTCAGTGGTAGAATGCTCGCCTGCCACGCGGGCGGCCCGGGTTCGATTCCCGGCCGATGCATGCTTTTTCTTTTGTCTTTAGGAACATTTATTTATAATAATTACGTACCGAATTATTTAAACGTAAAATTAGCATCGTGTATTTCTGATAAATCGATACTAGACTATTATGTTATCTTAGTTTTTGAAAATATTATAATGAATAATATATAATAATACAGACATAAAAAGACGATAGAAGAGCTCCACAAGCAACTAGAGGATGCTGAAACGACGCTACGCGGATTCCGAGCTAAATTAGCTGCCGAGAGGCTGGACAAGGAATCGCAGAAAGACAACCTGCAGAAGGAATTTAAGGCACAGCTGTTGGTGAGTCCAATGTCCCCATTGTAGGGCACTTGCATTCCCTATGCATAGAATCGAAAAAGGATAATGGGCCATAAACCACCGTGCGGGCCCTGTGCGGATTGTTGGTGTTACGAATGCAGATGCCCGATGATGCGAGGAGCTCGATAGCGGAGTGGTTAACGCGCTCGGCTTGCGATACAGTTGTTAAGCAACTTTCGCATATTTAGAAGCCCATAATAAAATTATATTATTTTTCGGGAAAATATATAATACATACCTGATTACGGGACACGTAGTTATATATAATTTTTCTATTTATTTATTTTTTCATTAGAACATTGAGAGCGAAATGAAGGCTCGTGAAAGAGAAGCTGAAGAACGTCTAAAGCAAGCTGAAGCTGAAACTAAAGCTGTACAAAAGAAACTAGAGCAGCAGGTAAGATGCATAGATGAGACAACTGAGATAACTATTATCCAACGGCCTGATTGTCTAATTTTAGAATTTTCAATCGTATAGCGGTTGTAATAGTGATTTATGAAATAGTGTAATTTTTAAAGTTACAATCGCTGCTGGAACGAATGATATAAACGGCATAGACAATTCATTTCGTCTGACATTTCCCAATAGCTATCAAAGATATTTGTAACTATAACACAGATTAACGGCAAATAAAGATTATCTTTTATTGAATATTTTTCAAATGTTAAATTCAAAGTGATTGTGATTTAAAATTAGATAATTAGGCCACGGGTTCGACTGTAAACAAATGTTACCTGTCATTAGATGAACAAAAACAGCGAGTTGGCGGGCGTGTTGATTAAGTTTGAAGAGCGCGTCAAACAGCGAGACAAAAAATTGGAAGAGGCCGCTGCCGCGGAGGCCGCGCTTAGGAGGGAATCGGAACACAAGGACACGGTAACCTCAACTCTTTTGCAGTGTGAAATACGAATCATTTTCGAACTAATTAAGCCTCATTTTAACTCATAATTTGTACCCAATTCGTGTTGTCCCAAAGCAATTAATCAACGAATCTATTAAAACGATGAAATGTGAATTCAGTTTTTGGCGACAACATTACATTAATAATTGTTCGGACATTGCTCCAAAAAATTTTTGTTAAAAATATACATATTTTATAGAGTACCTGCCTTAATGGTTATATATAAGGTTATTTAAATATATTAAGCGTGTAAACTATTGATTGATGACACTGTTTTTATTATTATACATTCTTATAATACATCATATAGGATGTGTGTTACTATAGAATCATGTTTGTTGGCAAAACTTAGCTTTTACTAGTAAATCTTGGGATTTACCAACATGAGTTTGTTCATTTTATTCTTAAATGATACATTTACTAACCGTCATTGGTCAAACTGTAATGGTGAAAGCCCGAAAATATGTTGATATTTCAATAAAAATTTACATACAAATTAATTTTGATAAATCCCAAGATTCACTAGCGAAATTTGAAATTTACCAACATACGGGATAGCTACAAACTAATATCATACACTTGTGATATTGCCTTACTAGATGGCGTTACCTTTTTTGTGAAACGCGATATGGTTTCTTCCGATGGGTAGTTATATATAATATAAACTATACAACGCCATCTAGTGACTTAAAGCTACATTAAAGTTACAAATAAATTTTGAATTGGGATTTAATATTATAATTCGTTGTGGGGTGGATCATTTCTAATATGTTTCAATTGGGTTTTTAATAGACATTTGTAAAACAGAGCAGACATTTGCATAATTGAAATGTGACACCTAAGTAGATAGATTTTGGTCATAGTTGTTTGTGACTTAGTGAACACTTTCACCTTAACTTCAATATCTACATAATTACATAAGTAATTTCTAATTGAAACAAAAAATCGTATCCTTATATTTTTCTCAGGCTCAATAATAGAATTTCCTTTTTTGCCCAGGCACAGGTATCATCCATATTAATTTATCGCTACTATCCATAAGATGTCGCTGTTCCTTGTCATCTTGGTAGTTGCTTAGGCGGCATAACTCTTGTATGGTGTTGTTGCCCTAGTACCTACGTACGGTAACGTTGTACAACTGTGTGACTGACTCCGATTAGCTAACGTGTTTGTTATATTTTGCGATATATCAGTTAATTAGCATGTAATTCGTGTGACTAGTAAGTTAGCAATTTAAGATGACCCGTTATATTATTTAGCTTTACATTAAACTTCCTATAAACCCGCGACGCGTATGATGTGGTATCCCGGACGTAAAAGAATTTTTAAAAATCGATCCTGTTTATTGGATAATACTTACTGTTAAAGTACGCGGTCGTGTCATATTACGCGTATGCATTTACAGTACTTACACATCTCTAGTTTATAATACAATACATAGTAAAGAAGTAACTGAGAAACTAAAATTTCTCGTATAAATACGTATTGAAATTTTTTATACAGTTAATAAAACAACTTGAGAAAACGGTTGCGGAGCGCGAGAACAGGCTGTACCAGGTGACGTCACAGCTGGAGGAGATGAAACGAGTGCAGGAGATGGTCGCCAAGCTCATGAGCAAAAGCTCAGCAACACCTACTAGTTAGCGACAGGTACTAAAGTTGGTAGTATTTAATTTTAACATTATATTTGTACACATCGCCTATAATATTAGCTATAATAATAAAAAAACGCCTTGGAAGCCATAAAATTATATGCGATTTTTTCCGCATGCAAAATGCAAGTAACCGTATGCATAATAATGTTTCCAGTGTATATTATTAGCGAGAACTCAAATAGAACAAAACAAATATTTTGTGTACCCAATAATAATTAAAATGGAGAGCATATTATAATTAAAAATGAGGCATAACCGGTTTCCTGTAATAGTTGGAATTCAATGACAAATTATAACGCCATCTAGTGTCATAGAAAAACATGAACGCTGATCTTTGAGTAATATTGTGATTTTATCTTTCTATATTTCTTTCAAACTATTTGTACACACATTTTTTTTTTATTTCAGGTATTCGAATGCGTGTAACAATCAAAAGATCAGAGAAGGTTCTAGTAAAATTTCTTATTCGTTTAATTCTATATACCGCACGTAAAGTTTTATATAGAATTTATTTTCATATTCTGTATATGAAATTATCGAGATAATTATGTTGCCGTAAATGGACTGAAAATTGATAATGATATTGTGTAAAGTATTTTATGACATCACTTATTAAATACATACATTTATAATGAATGCAGTTTTCTTTGTGTACTAATCCGTTGCCCTAGCTAGGATTCTAGTCATAGCTATAAAGTAAAAATGCAATATTTTAAATGAGCGCGAGGACACAGAACATATGAAAGAGTTGCGCCACTGTGCTCATATGAAAATATTAAGTTACATCTGCGAAGTGGTGAATTTTGGCGAAAAATGAAAATTTTGAAAACTTTAAAACAGGATGAAGAATATGCATGACAACTTAAATTATGTATGTTTTGAGATCTTTTAAATAAAAAAAAATCACATATGCATCCAACCTGAGATTTACGCATCTTTCTGGGCCAGAAATTCCTGGCCGAAAAACTCTCATCCTTTTATGATGTATTTCTGTTGCCGTTATAACAACAAACACTAAAAACATATTAAAATAAATATTATATAAGTTGAAAACATGTTATTATTTGTATAGATTAGTATGTTGTTTTTTGATAGGTTTAGATTTAAAAAGGATTTATGACATTTTCAATTACAATAATCGTGCTTTTCGTAAATGCCGAAATCGTTCTAAAATATTTTCTGTTACATATTTGTCAAAAGATATCATAACAACAAAAATATTTTAATTAATAATTACTTTATATTTTATTTCTTTATGTTTCATTCGCAACAATATATCAATTAACTAGATACGAGTGTCACTACTATGACAGCGTGCGTAAGCCAAAATTGAGAACTTTAACGCGACCGTCGAGCGTAGGAATAAAAAATGGAGTACGTACGCTTGATTACATTCTGATGTATTTTGTGCCTGTACGGAACCCTTCGTCGCGAGTCCGACGCGCACTTAGCCTGTCTTTATAACTAACCGTGTAGAATGTGGAATAGAAGACTGTTTACTTCGAAGTATTATTTCAAGGTTTCTCGTTAGAATAGGAGTCGCTCTCTCTGAAATGTGACCGTCTAAAATTGGGGGTGCGACCGTGAACTCTGTAGACAATTGACGTATTTAGACCGTCCGTCGTCTAGGGCAGATGGCGTACAGATAGCGTCAACGTAAGAGAATAAATCTAACGAGAAAAACCATTCGCCAATTGTCTAGCTAAGGCGAGCCATGGCAATAATATAAAATCTTAGATAAAAGTATAGATTCTATACTATAGAAGGTTTCTACCATTATTTGTTTATTGGGGGTAATCTTCAGAGAAATAATGATCCAATCATGAAATTCTATAATCTACGGGAAGCTACATCATACGCGGGTGTTATAGACTATAATTTACGGGCGAAGTCGTTTAAAACAGCTAGTTATTTATATATTAAATAAAATATTCTTGTTTACTTTTTAAAAAAGCAAAAATTACGACAATCAACCATTAATGAAATATTTAAATAGTGAAACAAGAACATTACACAATCAATTAAACGTTTTTATAGCTATGGCTAGACATAGCGAGAGAGGCAGTAGCACCCCGGGTTTCATCTCAAAATCTTTCTGTCTTCAAGCTATAAATGTGGTAAGGAACCTTACTTACCGTAATGGAAAATATTAATCAACTGCACTCAATTTTATTTTGTAAAGGGTGCTTTGCGTCATACATAAGTTAAGATAATTTTTCCGTAAGTAATATGACAAAATTAATATTCTAAAAAACAGTTATCTGTCCTGCTGTCTGTACTCTTGCTTAAGATGTGTTTGTTCATATAGTGGTGTTTGTTCCCATTTGGCGGGTCAAAGTCAGCTATTCGCAGCTCCCTAGTGTCACGGACGCGGTTGCCGCCACACTTGTGTATTTCAAATCTGTAAGGTCACCCTGAGTTTGTAGACTTAAATAGTCTGTATAGGTTTGTTGGGTTGAAAAACCTAGGATTTGAAGTTGGAAAATCTAGAAAAATGAGGGCTGGGGCTGGATTGAGACCCTCAAAATCATCATAACACCAAGGTATAAGACGATTAAAAAATGATTCCACAAAAAATCATACACATTAGGCTGCCGTTGCGATGGACATAATAAAAAATCATATACTGTGGTGTGGTAAATATAAAATTTGGATTGGAGCAATATCAAGTTTTTGCCTCGATTGAAAAAATAGTAGTTCTGGGAATACTGAATTGTTCTGGCTATTTTATTTTCTAATTCCTGGAAGAAATCCTTGTGAATCGAAACGGTCGAAAATTTCAAGCACCTAAACAAAAATGATTTAATTACATCTATTTAGTCCAGTCGGCTTACACTGTAGGAGTCTCTTAGCTTTATGAAATTATATAATAGCACCATCTACAGACAGTGAAATCAAACTGTTACGTTCTACATTTACTGTTCTGCATTTGCTTTGTTGCACGCACACACATCGTACATTAAAACTGTAGTGTACTAGATGTATGCTGCGCGTATTATTAGCACAAAAATAAAAATTGTTTCTACTAATCGCTAGATGCCGTTAATTATATGGTGAGTGAAGTAAGCAGTAAGTAATGAATTAAGTTTCCGAAATCGCATAATGGAAAGCACGGGTAATCCATACATATTCGTATTAATAATTGAATATCTCTGGATCAGCTATGTTATTCCGGTGCCTGCTGGTAGATAGATTTGAATAGCTTCCGCTCACTAGATGTCGTATAGTCCGATTACGTAATCAATCCCAAGACTTATCTATGCCCAAGCCATTACACAAGCATTGTACTATGTTTAATGTTTGTAATTTCCGGAGCTAGATTTAGTTTTTTGGTTAGTTTAGGTGAATATTACGATAAAATATATTATAAAAATTAAACATGCTTTTGTTTATAATCGCCCAATATTAATTGGGGTAAGTAAAATATAAAAGCTTATCACTATTGTTGTTCAAAAAAATAATAATAATAAGATATCTTGGAATACTATGTTACCCTGGTACTACATCGGCAAATAATGACGGCAGAGAGAGAGTGCAAATCGAAATATATTATTACTAGCTTTCCGCCAGCGGCTTCGCCTGCGTGGTCTTGTATTATACATAAAAACCCTTTTGAATCACCCTCTTTATGAAAAAAAAACTGCATCAAAATCCGTTGCGTAGTTTTAAAGATTTAAGCATACAAACGGATATTGGGACAGAAAAGCGACTTTGTTTTGTACTATGTAGTGAAGTGACATTTATTTATTGTAAATCTTAGTTCCGTTTACGCAGGTAGTAGTGCTGTGCCTGGGCAAAAAAAAAGAAATTCTATTATTCAGTCCGAGAAAAATATTAGTACACGTTTTTTTGTTTCAACGAGAAATGACTTAAATAATTATGTAGATATTAAAATTAAAGAGTAGGTGCTCACGAAGTAACAAACAACTGAGTGTAAAAAACAAAATCAAAATCAGTTCCCCCGTTCGGGAGCTATGAGGCCACAACAGACACACACAGACACGTCAAACTTATAACATCCGTCGTTTTTGCGTCCGGGGTTAAAAATCTGTCTAAATAGGTGTCATATTTTCGTAATTAATTGATTAGATAAAAACAAATAGTGCATTAAGGATAAAATATCACTACTATGTGAAGCTGTGCGTGTATCGAATATAATAGTGATTATGATATTATTTAAGAATAGTTATTTAAGATACGAGTGCGGAACGTAAGGTTTTACGAATAAGGGCCAAATTGATTTGGTTGGTTTTCATTGGCACGAATTCGAAAAACCTTTTACGCTCAAGTTTCTTACAACATTTTTCAATGCTTTTTGCGAAATAAAACAAATACATAGGTTAATAAAACTATGTATGTATTAAAGGTAAAAATTATTTGTTAAAATTAAACGTGATATTTGATCATGTTTTCGTGTCATACATTTTTGTTTGAAATATTCGTTCTCGGCTCCTTGAAATACTTTTGCCTCTAAAGTTTGACATATTTTCATCAATTTTTTTTAAATTTCTATGGTGCTTGGCCAAAAAAAATTAAAAAAATACTTTTAAGCACGTGTGCAGTAAAGGATTTCAGTACATTTTTATTTAACACGTGTTTAAAGACTCACTTTCGGTGTTTACAATGGATTAAAAAAATAGCGCTTTATGAGCATTGAAAAATAAATTACGGCGATACATTGAGTTGAAATGTTACACCGATGTTGATAGATTTTGGTCATTGTACTTACACCTAAACTGTAATATCTACCTAATTATTCAAGTAATTTCTCATTGAAACAAAAAACGTATCCTATCATTTTTCTCGGACTCAATAATAGAATTTTCTTTTTTTTCCCAGGCACAGGTATCATCCCTATTAGTTTTTTCGCTACTATCCATAAGATGTCGCTGTTCCGTGTCATCTTGGTAGTTGCTTAAGCGGCATAACTCTTGTATGGTGGTGTTGCCCTAGTACCTACTCACGGTAACGTTGTACAACTGTGACCGACTCCGATTAGCTAACGAACGTTTTTGTATTAGCGTGTAATGCGTGTGACTAGCAAGCTACTTGAGTTGACCCGTTATTTTATTTAGCTTATACATAAAATTTCTTATAAACCCGCGACGCGTATGATG